GGACCAGCTTGGGGGATGGGAATGGGGGCCCCCCTGGACCAGCTTGGGGGATGGGAATGGGGCCCCCCCTGGCCAGCTTGGGGGATGGGGGGAGCACTGACCAGCCTGGGGTGATGGGAGGCACCTTGCCCAGCTCGGATGAGCCCAAACTTGGCCAGCCTGAGGGGAGGTGCTGGGGGGGGGACCCTGCTTGGGAGGCAGCAAGGGAGCCATGATGGTGACTTATAGAGGGCACCTGAGATTGGCACAACATGGAGCGACGATGGGTGCGAAGTGACAGTGGCCATGAGGGCCCCTCGGCAATGCAGCATGATGAGCTCTTGGGGTTTGTTCAGCACCCGGCACAATGCATCCTGATCCCCCAAAGAGCCCGCCTAGGTATGATTGTCACACAGGTGATAATAAATGGCTATGAGAATGTGGTTGTAAATAGTGAACTGCCATGCTAAGGCATCTTTCTGCTAAACCCCTGTCACATGGCACCCAACGGTCACCGTAACCACATCAACAGATAATAGTCATGTAAAAATAATTGGCTTCCTAAACATTTAGCTGTGCCTATGCCTTAGGCCAGTGGTTCTCAACCCACAACCCAATCAGCACATAACTACGGCCCACGTGACATCCCCCTGGGCTGTACAAGTAATATATCTATTATGCAGTTGCAACCCACATAACACGGAGAGAGTTGCACATGCAGCCTACAATGGTAAATAGGTTGAGTCTGTGGTATTTCCTACTTAGGACCTTCGGCAAAAGAGACCTGTGCAGGTGGACTCCTGCTGCCCCACAGAGTCTCATTAACTCCAGTGGGGCTCCATGCAGGAGAAGGGATCAGCCCATGCGGGTCTCCTTGCAGGATTGTGTTGGATTGCATGTAGGTTGTGCACTCTCTAGGCCAGGAGATGTGTCTTCACTTGCTTTAGCGGTTGCCTGAAGCTTCTCCAGGTGCTTGATGTATAATTAAAAAACATTAATCATCATAATGTTGCCTTTTAAAAGCCATTTCTTGCTTTCTCTCACAGCAATGGCCAGATCTGAGCTAAGGTCATCTCAAATATTCTTAACGCTCGGTGGGGGTTAAACCGTCACTCTGGATTTCAGGATATTTGCAGCCGGAAAGCTTAGCTAGCTTCATAACCATCTGGAATCTCAAAGAAAAGAAAATCAGGCTGGTGGGAGTGGGGGGAACTTTCCCTCCATATTTTCAGACATGCTATGTAGCTCCACTTCCTTGCAGCTCTCCCTGCTGTGGCGAGTGGGGGGAGGGGAAAGGGGGAGCCTGAACCCTTCTGCTAGCCCCAGCTTGCCCCAGGCCCCACAGGCTAACCTAAGTATGGGGAACAAAATACAGGACTATGTAGCACTTTAAAGACTAACAAGATGGTTTATTAGATGATGAGCTTTCGTGGGCCAGACCCACTTCCTCAGATCAAATAGTGGAAGAAAATCGTCACAACCATATATACCAAAGGATACAATTAAAAAAAATGAACACTGGTATATATGGTTGTGATGATTTTCTTCCACTATTTGATCTGAGGAAGTGGGTCTGGCCCACGAAAGCTCATCATCTAATAAACCATCTTGTTAGTCTTTAAAGTGCTGCATAGTCCTGTATTTTGTTTCAGCTACACCAGACTAACACAGCTACATTTCTATCACTAAGTATGGGGGACCATTCTGTCCATAGGACGATTGGGGTGGCTGCTGTGGGCCCCGCTCCCCCCAATGCACAGGGCCCGGGGTGGCAGCAGCAAATCGTTCTATGGATGGGATGGCTCTGCACACATCTCTCCTGGGCCACAGGGATGCAGCGCTAGCAGCGAGGAGCTGCTCTAGCCTTGCCGTGCTACTGGTAGCGGCACCGGAACCCCTGTGGGGGGGGGGAGGGTTAAGTTGCCCAGAGATGGCAGACAGTGCCGGGGGATGCATGGGAGAAGAGTGCATAGACTAGCAGCTGGGACCGGGAGACACGTGGGGGGTGTGAATGTGTGGAGACTCCCCCCCGAACCCTGCTAGAGAGGGGTGCCTGCTGACCCACTAGGTGGATTTGAGGACTGGCACTGGCTCCAAGGTAAAATGAGTTTGAGACCCCTGGTTTACAGTTTGGTTCAATGGCTCTCAACACCCCCACTATAAAAATTGTTCCAGCACACTTTGCTTTAAAATAGGTGTGATTCTAGTGGCAATTAGTTGCCTTAAATTTCCTTTTTGTGTGTGTGTGTCATATTTGCACCAGGGCGTGGGAGGACTGGAGGAAGGGGACAGGTTTCAGGAGAGCCCCACTTGAGTGGAACATGAGGGCTTCTGGCCTCCCAGCTGGGGGTCAGGAAGCCACCAGATAAGCACAGAAGAAACATCTCTTTCCTACAGCTCGGCTGGGCAGTTGCATCTTCAATGCGAACAAAACAATTTGCAGGGTCTCCTCCCTGTGAAGTTACAAAGAACATGGGGCCACGGATGAGCCATTGGTGTGAATCTGGAGTTAGATAACAGGTTTGGTTTAAAGTCTCAGACTGGTGGCCCTGTTAGTCAGTATCTTAAAAAATGAGGATTCCTGTGGCACCTTAGAGACTAACAAGTTGATTAGGGCATATGCTTTCGTCAGTAGAACCCACTTCATTAGATGATTGACCCTTTTTCTTTTGCTTCAGAGGGGTAGCTGAGTTAGTCTATACAGGATAAACTTAAAAATCAACAAATGGTCTGGTAGCACTTTAAAGACTAACAAAACATAGATGTATCATGAACTTTCATAGACACAGCCCACTTCTTCAGATGACTGCTGAAGAAGTGGGTTGAGCCCACAAGAGCTCATGATACATCTACATGTTTTGTTAGTCTTTAAAGTGCTACCAGACTATTTGTTGTTTTTTAAGTTTATCCTTTCTTTTTGTTATCCATGTGTGTGTATATATATATATATATATATATATACACACACACATCCCCGCCTCTGTAAACTCCACTTCAACTCATCTGATGAAGTGCTTTTAACCCACAAAAGTTTATGCCCTAATACATCTGTTTGTCTCTAACGTGCCACAGGACTCCTCGTTGTTTTTGCAGCTCTGGTGTGTTTTTTGCAGGGTACTGAGCCAGCCTGGTCGGCCTCTCCTGAAAAAGCAAGCATTGCACAGCCTGTTTTCTGCAGCTCTAGGTGGTGCTGTCCTGTGGTTAGCAGGCTCTCTCTCCTCTCCTTTGCTCCCTCTTGCTGTCTCCCTGATTGCCCCTTCATTGGTCGGGATGTGAGTCAGTTAAGCCTGCAGTTTTCGGAAGAGGAAAGCAGAGACAGACAGCTGTCCTGAGAAGGTAGGTAGAGGCCTCCCTCCTCAGAGATTTACTGTGCCATCTGGATGGGGGCAAAGAGGGAGATACATGATACATAGATGCTTAGAGGCTCCACACAAGAGCCAGCTGCCTCTGGGAGTCCAGCCTGACAGCTGGGCTCATTAGCATGCCCAGGCTGCAGTGAGGATCAGGGCCTGGACCAGTCTAGCCCTGTGCTGCCCCACTCCCCTGCCTTGCAGCGATTGCAACCCCCCTACTTCCAGCACCTTCGTTGGTTTGTTCCTGAGCAGAATTCTCAAGGAGCATGCATTTGCACAGAAGGGGGGGGGGG